TAGGGAAATGTCTGGAGAGCTACAAGGATGACCCCAACTAGGAATCTAAGCAATAGTGCAGAGGCTACCTTAAATGCCCTTCCTTATAATGAGAATGATGACTGCCATCCTGGCACCTTCATCCAGTAGCTGATAGAAGCAGAAGCATAGATCCATAGCTAAGCAATGAGCCATACTCCTAGAATCCAGTTTCAGAGAGGGTGGAGGGATGAGCAAAGGGGTCAAGACCATGCTTGGAAAACCCACAGAAACAGCTGACCTGAGCAAGTTGGAAGTCATGGACCCCAGTCTGACATTTGAGGAACCAGCCTAACATAGAACAAGGCCCCCTGAAGGTGAGTGGCAGCTAGAAGCACTGGGTAGTCTATGAGGCCTCTGGCAGTGGAACCAGGATGCATCTCTAGTGCATGAATGGGCCCATTTCCCATGGAGGTATACTCTCTTAGCCTAGATATACAGGGGAGGGCCTAGGTCCTGCCCCAAATGACTTGACAGATTTTTATGATTCCCTAATGGAAGGACTCACCCTCCCTGGGGAGTGGTTAGGGGATGGGGGAGACAGTGGGGGGCATGGGAGAATGGGAGGGAGAGGGAACTGGATTTTATATGTAAAATAAGATTGTTTCTAATTTAAATGAAATTTATATAAGAAGATTGTGCTCATTAAATTGAATCTCAGTATTTTTAGAACTTTCATGATACACTTTCTATGAAGTGTTTTTCGTAATGGAAATGCTGACACATATGACAATAGACACCAATGTAAGGGTCTTAACTGTGTCTTCATGCACTGGCTGTGTATACTGCTTGAATATTTGGTTTGATTTTTAGCACTAATTTTATTAGAATCTGCCTTTGAGTTGGGCAGTGAACAGCAAGGCTGCTCAGTCTGAACATTTCTCTGTTGATGGAAAAGCCTCTTGATTGTTTTTACTTTTCTTGGAAAGCTTAATTATGTCTTTCAAATATGATTTCATTTAAATCTTTTTATGGTTTGCATGTCTGAATACTAATAGTAATATGATATTCATGGAGAACTGAGCTCGAGACCAAAAGTCAATTTTTAGTCTGTAGAGGGCATATGAATAAATTGCCTTCAAGCAACATCTAAAATGATATTTAGACTCAAAATTATCAAATAACTTTAAGATTTCAAAAGCTAATTATTGCAGTATTTTAGAACTGATGCCATTAATCCCTTTTAAGCTAGTAGAAGTTATTAAAACTCAGTGCTCTATGATATTTCATTACTGTTAATGTAGATAATAAAAAAATAAAGCAATTTTGGAGTACTGTGTGCCCATACATACTAAAGAAGTTTTAGTTGGAAGTACAAATTATGCACAGAAAAAAACAAAATAATAGCACATTTGCTTAGACATTTAGAGTATCTAAACATGGTAGTACATTGGTTTTAATGTTAGGCTATGGGGTATTTTGTCTTATTGCTAAGGACGATTTGGTATTAGGATTAAGACATTCCATTTTTCAGAGTCTGTGATCATTGCAAGGGTTTGAACTATATCATTAGTATAGTGATTATGAAAATGCTTTAAAGGACATTTCCTTTGGGGACATGAAGAAATCTTCAAAGAGCAAAATACTCATAAAATGTAACAGCGTAAGTCATGGTAGATGCAATCCTTTTAGTTGTAATGAGAAATGGCTTCCATTTAGAAGGTCCTTGGAACCGTTTACTTCTGACGAGAAATCCCATGTTGGAATAGCATGTGTTTGTTGTGATCATAGCAGAGAGTGTTAGAATAACAGAAATGATTAAGCTTGATGGGTGAATACACTCACTAAGAGCAAATGGTGTTGATGGCCCTTATACTAATAGGGTTTTTTTGTTGTTCAGAATTTAAAAGTTTTTCAACAACACATAGATTTTGAACTCTGTGTTTCTTTTTACTTATTCAACACTTGTAGATTTTATTTCTATTTATTTATTGTATTACTTTATGTGTATTCATGTGTCTTTGCATCATGTCTTTGGAGACCTGAAGAGGGTGTCAGGTCCCCTGGAACTGGACCTAAAGTTATGAACCACTATTTGGGCCTGGGAATACGACTGAGCTTTCTGAAAAGCAGACAGTTTTCTCAACCACTGAAACATCTTTCCAGCCTCATACTTTATATTTTAAAAAATGGTATTTATTTGCCAGAAGGAATTGAATGAATAGATATTCTATATGCCCTTAATTTTGAAGCCATCCACATGATCTGTAAAAAGTCAACATTTGATTAAACAAATAAATAATTGGATAGTTAAGCATGGAAATTTATTGACCCAGTGGATACTGTGATCAATACCATTCGATGAGTTGAGAAATAACTACCTATTTTCCTTTCACATATTAAAATAAGTAATTACAAAGGTAACTTAAAACACAACATATACTAGCCTTTGGTAATGGAAACATTACAAAGAGGAACTAAGAACATTTCATTTTACAAGTGCTGGGGATTGAACCCAGGACTTTGAATGTTCTATGTAAGCACACTACCACTGAACTACAACCTCCGCTTTTTGACTCAGTTCGTTTTAATAAAGGTTGCAGACTGTTAGAAAAGCCACCCTCCCTGTGTTTGTTATAATTTTTCTCTTTTCAGTTTATTCTGACATTCTTATAGCAGAGGTAGAAAATATCCTGTTGGAAAGTCATAGCTAAAAGGATATTGAAAAAAGAGGATAATTTTAGATCTTGCCTAGTCACAGAGAAACTGTGAAGAGAAACGTTTAAAAAGATTTAAGCACAAATAACACTTATCTGACTTAACTGCATTTAAATACACAAAGTATGCAATACTGTGTTAAATATATCCAAAGAGATTTACTACTATTTAGTAGATTATATTTTATAACATAGTATCAATGTTATTAGCCACATATTAATGTTAAATTTGTGTAATCTATTTTAAAGGTCTTTTTTTTTGTTTTTGTTTTTTGGAGACAGGGTTTCTTTGTGTAGCTTTGGAGCCTATCCTGGCACTCGCTCTGGAGACCAGGCTGGCCTTGAACTCACAGAGATCTGCCTGCCTCTACCTCCTGAGTGCTGGGATTAAAGGCTTGTGCCATCAACGCCCGGCTATGTTCTTTAAAGGTCTTTTAAAGAACTTCTAATTCTCTCTTTGGAGGCAGATTGGGTACTTAAAAGTCATGGCACCTCTCCATTATCCATGTAAAGATGCAGCGAGACATAATTCTAAATGTGAACCAATACCTATTTCTGGATTTCTTGCCTTTCAGGGTTTATTCAATCATTCATAAATACCCATAAGACAACATTTCAAATACATTCAACTGAGAAATATGGAGTGCAGTGAAATAAAATGAAAAAGCTAACAATAAAGCCATTATTATTTCACTAAGGTAGAATAATATTGAAATTACTGATCTATATGATCAGTCAGACATCCTAGTCATATAGCATCAAGAACATATTTAAGATTGGTTTCTGTCATATAGCTCCCAATGGCACCAGTACCTATCTCAAATGTAAAATGAGTGCAGTTAGCACATTACATTTTGTAGCTTTGTGCTTTAGTTGATGTTAAGCGCGCAAAAATACTTGAGCCTTAATAGCAACCTGAGAAATGTGCAGTAGGCTTTCTTTAGATGTGTATGTAACGACGATGAAAATCAAAGAGAATTAAATGTACTATTTAATTTCCCTGGGGGGGGTGGCCTGGGTGCTGACAGGAGGGACTCCTGCAGTGTAGCTGCAATTGAATGTGAACTGACAGAGCTCAGGGAGGAATTCTGCCCCCTTGTGTATGTACTGTAACGAATGTATGTGTCTATCTTCAGGTGAATATAACAGAAAAAAATTTAAGAACACTGTTTGCAATGTAATCTTTTTTGAAAAAAAGGAAGTGCTGAGCTAGCCATCGGTAAAGGAATTAGATTACGTTGTGGATACATTGGTAAGGCAGTAATATATAGTAATGGAATTCCCCTCCAGTAATTAAAGTGAATGGAGTGCTTATTCCATAATTCTAACTGAGAAACATCAATGTCCAAAAGTTTTACAATTTTTTTCACATATATTGAATTTCTCACTGCACGGGAAATAAAAGAACAGAAGGAAATGGATGATGAAGATTCTAATAGTAGTAGCAGTGGGGGCCTAATTAATTGTTCACTTCATTTTAAAGTTTTTAAGTTTACATTTTGCAGTCTTTCTAGTATGAGTATATATAATACTCCCATGTTATTAGTATTCGAGTATGGCAAAGCATTGCACAGGGTAAGCTTGCTAGAACTTCGTTTTGCTAGCGCATAACTGTGAGGCAGAAGCAGCCATTTCTTCTTTGGGATTTATCATTGGAGTGAATGGATTGAAGGTTATGTCCTCTAGCTCCGTTCTTTTCTTCACTTACCTACGTCTGTCATATTGACCCAACTTCAGGTGCTACTAGGTCATTCTGATGGAAGAACTTCGGGAATAACAGAGGGAAGGTAGCTTCCCAGAACTAACCTCTTTCAGTTTCACTTCCACCTGAAGGCTTTTTCAAAGCCTTAAATCACACCTCTCCCAATAGTCTCTACATGCCTTAAGACGGAAGGAGCTTTCCTACCCACGATTTAAGACTTTTTCAGGCGCGCAGGGTTACTTTAGGAGGGAGACCATTGGAAGCGCTAATCCTAAACCCTCCTAGAGTGTGGAAAGTAC